AATCCGCGTGTAATCGCGGACGTCCTACGCGATCATTTCCTTTATCATGGGCTGAATTATGGCGGCGAACGACGCGCGTTGCGCGAAATCGGTTGTAAACGGGCGGTCAGCCGCAGCGCTAACGAGTTCGCCCTCCACGCGTTTCTAACCCTTCCCGGCGTGCCGATTAATCGGTTAATGCTTGGTAATTACGCGTATTCCCGGTCACCGCCACGCGAATGCGTTTCGTCGTCTATGGAGAACGTCGGGTTCCAAAAATCGTTCGGTATTCGCGATTTCCACGGGGTTGCAACGTTCGGGCGTCGAGTTTCGTGGAAATTGCGCGAGGGATGAAAATGGGAAAAGGTCGCGAAGAAGGGCGACGAGAGCGCACGAGGGTGTCGTACTTTAACCGCGTATACCACGTCGCTGATACACCGGGCTGTGTCTTATCTGGTTATCTTGAGAAATGCTCTTGAATATTAGAAAGATTTTCAGAGGAGCACCGACGGAATTCTCAAAGATCCGCTGGTCTGTCGTTGATTGAATAATGTCGACCAGGCAGTTGCTTACGTGCTTACAAGATGCAAGCTTGTCGCAGCAGTTTGCCCCATGTAAATCGAATCAGTGTGTCGCTACAACGGGAGGGGACGCGGTAACTGCATGTCGTCTACAAATTGCGCTAATCCGGAATGGAATGGGTGAAATTTGCCGTGTCGCAGGAGCCCGCGGGACTGGAAACATTAGAGGTACAGGCGTATAGACTCGCTACCTTAAACTTAATGCTCGCTTCCCAGCGAGAGTATCGCGCTTCGTGCCAAATTGGCTAACTTTTACGTGTTTATACTTTACGCGATACTTGGAGAGATGTTCTTATTCTCCGCGAGTTTTAGAAGGTAGTTTCAATTCTACCTTAATTTCGTTTACCTTGCTCGAATATTCCGAGTCGAACGCAGGCACGGCTTGCCCCTCGTTATCGAACGCCAATTATCGAGATATCGGCTCGCCTCGTCCCGACGCTTGCTCTACGCCGATCTTGTCTTCGGCGAAAAATTAAACGTTTAATAGCGACATAAAGCGCTATCTACTGTATGCAGGCAACGCGTCGTGGTCGCATGCAAATCGTCAACCACGCGTCGAAGTCGGTCCAAGTCGGTCCAAGTTTTCTCGTTTCTCGTTCAATCAAAATGCGAGACACCGTGATCGAGTGCCGCCTCTTATCGTACCTCTGCCTCACCCTCGTAAACTTCCTCTTCCTTCCATCTATTCCTTTCCTACGGTCCTGTGTCTTCTTTCCTCCCACCCTCTGCCGCCCCAGCTTTCTCCGTGTTTCTCCACGCGGGGTGCATTTTGCCTTCTCTATAATTCTCCCCCTACTCGCGATAGGTACATCTGTCCGGAGCGTGTTCTCGCTGCCTACGCCACTGATTTACCGTTTCCCGGATCGTTCGAAATTCGTTTCGCACGCTTTATGAACTCGCGCTGTACGCCGTTCAATCGGCGCGATTTTAACGGCAAACGGTCCGTTCGACGAAACTATTAAACTAAACTAGACGATTAATTACCGTGTCGAATAATTACTCTTTGAACTCGGCGAACGGGTTCTCACGTGGCGTTCGTTTGCGTTTATCTACGCCTCGAAACGGCGAAATTCGCACGATTTCCGGTCTGCTTTCCCGTCCACACCGTTTCCGATCGCACGTTTTAATTAAACGTCTTAACCCAGAAAATTGCGCGAGACCTCTGCCGCGCGATATCATCGGACATTCCATTTTGCACCGTTCTCATCGGTATTCAAAGAAAGCGTTCTTTTAATCGCCACCGACATTCCACGACGCCACTGCGACGTCGACCATGGCATCGTTGACTTTCTTCTGCTTTGGTCCAATTGTCCACACTGTTGATATCCCGACGGTTAAATATCCTTGCATCGTATGTTCACCCCTCGAATGTTAATAAACGCTGTGTCGGAACTAGCGATCCGGTTAGAACGGCTACTTTTAGCCCTACCATTCTTGCAATTATCGAAGATAGCAGGCTACTCTTGATGGAATTAACGTAGCCTTTTATTATTAAAACAGCGTTATAATTATACACGCCTTATTTTTATCGGACTACTTTAATTAATTATTATCATCCGCTATAGATAGGTATACGTTACAGGTCAGTAGCTCCACTGTTAAACCGACGCGTTCGGTACCAGACTTAACCGACTTAATCGACTTAATCGGCTTACAATCGACTCAACATCTCGTCGATATTCGCGTCTATGAATTTCTCGAATTTCTTCGCTCAACGACGTAGCGCACAAACCCCTCAACTCGCAACGATGATAACCTTGGTTGCCTCGCGCTCAACCCTACGGCACTCTTGTACCTACCCTTCCGGTTAATGAGCATTCGGCTAAGCAATCATCATCGTCGTTAACGAGGCTTCCCTCTGCCAGGGAAATATGAATATCGAAAAACGAAGGGCGCGTTGAGAAGGGTTGCAACCATTTCACTTTGCAGCGTAAAACATCGCAGAGAGACGCGGAATCGGCGAACGAGATCCAAAGAGTATGGTTGCGATTAATTTTCTTCGAGTCTAGGTCGAGCGGATCGGAAGCGATGCAATTTCCGGCTGAAAATCCGGCGAACGGAAGATTGCGCGTATCGTCCTGTCTCGCGTTATTTCATTAGTCGGCTGGAAACCTTCTCTGGCTTCTGGGTGGCGCTCGTAATTGAGTTATCTGCATGGTAGATTGCAACGGACGCTAACACGTCGTGCGGGTGAGCCTTCTTTCGGTCCCGAGTCCTCTTATCTAGTTTCGCGTTTCCGTCGCGGTTTGCGCGGTCACCCCGCTGCTTTGTCTCGCGGAGGGGCCGCGTTCTCAGGCAGGACGTCGAGTTAGCAGCCGCCCCCGCTGCCGCAGGGGATGCAGACCACTCGGGGATTATATTCGTACGAGGCTGCGAGTCCGGTCGACGATCGCAGGAATTTTAATTACGCGGCTAATTAAAGACAAAGTCCGATAACGGGTAATCGGGAAAAAGCAGGACTCGTTAACGCGTGATTACAACGGGGATTAGACCGAGCTTGTAACCGGGTATCGGAGACGCGTGGAAAAACGAAAAAGCGACCTACGTACGTAGGGAACTTGGAATCCAAGCCGGCGAAAGTAGGCTACGACCGCGTTGTCCACGCCGGGTGGCCGCGATGAAATGTAATTTAAATGGTCGAAAGATCCGTGGATTCGTCGGGGCCAGGGACAAAGGTGTCGGGAACGATCGGGCTACGCGCGACGAGTTAACGAGAATTCGATTTCGCCACTGTTCATTCGCGGCGATTGTGCGAGGGTGAAAAATAAAGGGAAAGAAAAGGTAACCTCGAACGGGGAATCCACGCGCCCCACTTGTTATTAAATTCGCGAAACTTTCCCTGTCGGTTGACTTTAAAATTCAGAAGTGCCTCTCTGCTGGAAGGCCGCGTAATTCTCGTTCCGGATATCGATGTCAGCGCCGGCAGAGCTGTACGGAATTCAATAAATCGAACGTCTTTCTCCCTGTCCGTTCGAGTCGTTTTGCTTTTTCCATCGAGCCACGCGGGGCGTGCACATACGCGCGCGTCAACAAATTTAATCTGTCCCTCTCCCTTTCTGGCCGAGGATCGCGAAAAGGAAATATTTGCCAGGAAAAATTACGATAATACGAGCGGCCGTCTCTCTGCGCGCGAGAATACGAAATTTATGTTGCGCGCGATACGTGAGCTTGATTTCGTCCGAAGATTAAAGTCCCCTGCGCGCCCCCCCCCCCCTGCGGCTGTTCTTTCCTTTCGCCCGCAAAAAAACCCGGCAATTTGCCGAGTTGTCCGATTCCGAGGTTTATCGTCGCGACGCTCTACGTCGGATCGACGACTGGGGAAAAACTCGCGAGTGTAAACTGGCTCTTATCGTCGCGCAACGGCGCGATGCCTCTCGGTCTCTAAGGACAGTCAATCGAGTCGTAACTTCCTTCCCCGATCTTCTATTTCTTCCTCCCCGGAGTCTCACCCGTGGTTACCAAATTCGAGTTTCGGGGTTGGTGGCGATAGCCTAGAAAAAGGAGGAAAACGGAGGAAGAATCGCGACACGAATGTCCGATGAGTGATTCGATGAAACAAAATCGAAACGATTTTACGAGATAGTTTCGTCCACCGATAACCGATCGATGTTTCTGCTGCGAACCGCGACAATTACCGCCATCAATTACTCGGTGTTGATATTGTCGGCAATATATCCAACACAGAGGAGGCTGAGCCGACCATCGAGGCGTTCGATCGATCCTCGTCGCTCGGGACGAGACACGATTACCGTGAACAGCGCGAAAACACGTTCGCGGTTGGCTTCTGAGCCGCGCGACCGATAAACTTGCCGCGGGACGTGTCTGCGAGTTTACAACCGCGAAACTGCGAATGCCTGCCGCTTCGTGATCGTTACCGGATTCGCCGGCACTTTTCATTCCAGTTCCACCGAGTCCTCGTGCTCGTCCGTGTCCCGCCAACTGTCCTCTTAACTCGGGCAATACCGTCGAGGTAGACAGCCGGCAGGGTCTACTCCGAGAAGAACTGGGCGAAAAAACGAGGCAAGAGAAACGTTGCCTTTGTCCACGCGGAAAACATAATTTCGGCTTTCTTCCTCCGCCGCTGCTTTATCCGGCTCCACCCCATTCTTCCCTCTGTGTCGCGGCGAACTGTCCATCGTTACGCGCCTCGTGCCACCTGTGGCTAGCCCGATCCGCGTCCACACAGCCCATCGGAGCAAACGTTGAATCGCCACCGACGACGAAACCAGCCCATTTCCTTCGTTTGCCCCCCTCCATTGTCTCGCGTGATCGCATACGGTTTTCGCGAACGAAAAGAGACGAGTGTCACTCGTGCTCTTTCATCCCCCACGCGTACACGGCACCGGACACGGAATGAGCCTTTCACGAATGCCGGGTCGCGCGTGAAAGATGAAGCAATTAGCCGAGGTCTCTGACGGAGTCGACTGGAAATGTTTGCAGACGAGACAGAGCAGCGGGACGGTCGGGAGCAGCGAGGGACAAGAAGGAACGGCGAGCAGCTGTTCCCCGAGGACGTCGTCGGCCACGATAACGATGACCATGACGACCACGCCGACAACGCCGACGTCCACGTCGACGATGACAGTCGCGTCAATGGCGATGCCATTCGTGGCCGCGGAATCGGAGGCATCGATATCGTGCAGCGCGACAGACCAGCTACAGCAATGTCGTTGGCAATGGCAACAGGCTCCACAGCCGCACGCGACCACTTGCCCGATCACAGCCACGTCGTCGTCCACGTATTTGTCGGCCTCGTCCTCCGCGGAGGCCAGCAAGCTGTCCACGAACGTCCTCTTTTCCTTGCCCGCGTCGCCGAAGAAGGCAGCGGCCGAGTCGTCCGGCAAGGCGCCCACCATATCCAAATCTCAGATGAAAGGTGAGTAGGCGAACAGCTGCGAGGTAAACGCGGCCGCAGGCACCTGGTATAAATTATGCACGTCCGAACGGAAAGTGGAGTGCTTCCGGATTTATGTTCATGACCTTTGGGTAGCAGATAATCCTAAGTTCTTGTCAGGATCCAGCGAATTACGTCGAAGCTGCCTCTCCCGTCCGAATTAATGGTCTCCAAACGGACGGAACGCGGATTTTCTTTCTGTCTGAATTCCGAGCTTGAAATATGGCGCCGCCAGGCGACGTCTAATACGAGTTTAATCTGATGTACCTTAACAACCTTCGTCCCCCGACTTTGCTCTTCGGCTGGAATTCGCGAGCGGTCGCCCCGGCGGTAGGAACGTATGGGTTATTGTTCGTGGGATTACCTTCGAGGATAATTTAATCTAACGCGGGATAAATATAAATCTCGATTCCGGGATACTTTAAAACCCTACAGCCGAATTTATCGCTTTAATATCTCCGGCGCGAATTCGCCAAGAATATCAAACGCTTCCCGCTGTAAATATATCTACGCACGGTTCCAGAGACACTTATCACGCTCGATCGAAGAATCGCCTCGTTTTATCGCGTTCCCCCTGGGAGCCAGTGCGCCACAACGAGAGCCAGTTCTGTATTAAAAATTATTTTATTCCGCGCGAAACGAAGCGCAAATATCGGTCTGTCCGACAGTTCCTTTGATCCGTCGGTGTTCGATTAATTGGCGTTAATTTCCACGTTTCCCTTCGCTTTCGTATCGTATTTTACGTATCGAGAGACACCGTGTTTTAAATCCGAAATATCGCCTGCCTCTCGACGTTGCTCGGTGCATCGGTATTCTTCGGTGTGGTGAAATTCCAAGAATCGTAGTTACGCGGTTTATCGTTGCACGCAAATTGGAGAGCCGAACGCTCCGTGTTCACGGGTTATGGCGGCGTGTTCCAACCGTCGTTACAAGCCACCACTTCGTTAGCTGTGTCAAAACAGGGGTGAAACTCGGAATATACGCGGAGCGTGGCGCGACCAGCAGTTTCCTCGTCATTGGCGTACACGTTGACAACTGGATCGCGGTACGTATCGCGGGGCTAAATTTCTAACCATGGCCAGCTGCAATTGCTTTTTTCTCGACGTGCACGTCACGCGTGATAGCAAGTACAGTTTCTCGTCACGTTCGTTCGCTCGGGATTCGAATTGCTCTCGCGATTCCGACCGTTTTGTTTTTCACAGCGAGGTAACTTGCACCGTCCGCGTGTAAGTTCTACCCCCTTCGGTTCTTCGCGAGGAGTTTCCATTTAAAAACTACCCCTCCCCCCCCGCCCCCCCACGTGCACGCACACGCGAGAAACTGCAGACTAACGATCGATACGTCGTGAAACGCGTTCTCGCGATTTTGTTCCTTCGCGAATGCTTAAAGCGCCGCGATTCGTCGTTCGGCGATTCGTTTAATGCCGAGGTAACGCGACGACCATGGCAAAAGGATGTCGCAAACGGAATTCGAATCAAAGAAATCCAGTGTACGCCATTTGTTGGGGAAACGGGACGCTGGAATATGCCGGTCCTTTTACTGCAAAGCGACACGCGCGTCGACGCTGACTTAAGCTTCGTCGCGATTTCCGCCTGGCTCGGACTTTTTTCACGGATGCTTTGCGTATCGGAGCACTTTGTGCGCGCAGTTTCGAGTTTAAAGCGTACGGATACTTAGCCAACGAGGAATCGCGTTAGCTTCTACGGGATATCGTTTATTAATGCGTTCTTCGCGAAAAGCGCGCGGTACTCGCTTGCCTTTTTACAGAAGGGCGAACGTTTCGGGTGAGTTTACCGATAATTTCGGCGAAATTCGAGGATTATCGCGTGGTAGTTAGAGGAAACGCAGATGAGCGACGATACGTCGGTTTTATATTTCTAACGATTGCACGCGAGCGTGTAATGGCGAGATCGCGCGCTGCTACGCTGCTAGAAATATAAACCCGTGGAATAGCACGACGCATAGCGTGGCTGGTCTGCGCGTAATACACGATTTAATCGCGTCGTTATTCGTCTCGTTTCCTCGACCACGTTACAAAAATGACCTCGAGAAGTCTATCAGCCGAGACGTCCATTATACCCCAATTTAGAACCGCTATCTCTTATTTCGCTTAACTCGTGGTCACCTAATTCTTACGTTCTCGCGTCGTAACTTCCGGTTCCCTCCGGTTACCTCGAAACCCTCTTCCCGACGGGCCGCGCGGGGTGCAGAAGCGCGATGAAAAAATCGCGAGACCACAAAACCCGTAACCGGGTTAAGCAGAATCTATTTGTCGACGGTCCTTCCTGCGCGGTTTTTCTTCCCCGTTACCCATTAGCGCGAAATCGCGGCCGTTCTCCAGATTCACTCTCTCGCCTCTCTCTCTCTCTCTCTCTCTCTCTCTCTCTCTCTGCCCTTCTATCTTCCGCTCGGTCTGCAGCTAGTTCCAGCACAATAGCGCGTGGATACGCCGGTGCAGAATGTGCTTATAGGAAAACCATAGCCGCCGGTACGTACAAAATCAATGGGCCGTGAAACGAGGCTATTAAACGGTCGAGTCAAGCACCGACGATCCAAGTCCGACCGAGCTTGTCCCTCCTCCACGTGCCCTCCGCGGGCATCCGACATCGCGGAATGTTATCCACCGAACCCGTTTAATCACCACCAGCCACCGATCCTCCTTCTAACCCTTCGTAACGAGAAAGAACCGTCCCGTGGCTGGCTCTTTCCTCGTTCCTCTCTTCCTCTGTTCGTCTTTGCCCTCGTCTCTGTGCCACCCCTCCGTCGCCGAGCTTTTCCATTCTTCCGTCGCGATGCCGCGTTATTCTATCGCTATACGGCCACCGGAATGGAATTTTAAATAAGTCTCCCGGTAATTAAAGTAACGCCCGGCGAACGCGCTCGGACGGCGGCGCATTAAGACCGGAAGGAACTCCGCAGCCGACGCTAAGCGTCGCTGTGCGCCGCTTCCACTAACTCCGCGATTCTCGCCTTCACTTTCGCCTTTAATCTTTCCTTCTCGCCACGCGCGTCGTTACCACCCCCTTCGCTATTATTCTCCGACGCGAAGCACAAAGCCCGAATCGAGTCGTGCGTGGTCTATTAATAGCTTTGAATTCCGCTGTTCCAGAATTCAGGGAAGCTTTTAGACTGTTCGACAAGGACGGGGACGGAAGCATTACAAAGGAGGAATTGGGGAGGGTGATGCGCTCGCTGGGACAGTTCGCGAGGGCCGAGGAACTGCGCACCATGCTGCAGGAGATCGACATCGACGGTAAGTCCCACAAAGATCACCTTCCCGAGTTGTTCTGTTAACACCAGAGGGGTGAAACTAGCTGGACCATGGCTGACGAAATGTGGAAAGGGTGCCGGAAACCACGCTGGAACGTGGCGTTAATCGAGAATCCCCTTTAACCCGTTCCCGTACTTTGACGAGTCTGACTCGTGACGAGGATTTTGGCCAAACGTGAATATCACGGAACGATGTTTGCCAGTTACGATCGTGATTGACTTTCAGTTGTTATCAATACGTCACGAGAGTTGGTCACGATTCATCAGAGATTCTAATCTCTGTTACAAAGCAGCTTAGTTACTGAGGTTTTCACTGTTTACCAGCATCAGTCTGGTCTGATGATCTTTACCGCGCGTCGACGCCTACCGTCTGGGCCCAGACTTCGACGAAGTAAATGGCACGAGAAGGGGTTAATATTCAACGACTTCGTGAAACCGAAACCGTGACATTCCCGGACCACGTGGCTAAATTGATTAGCCGCTCGAGGAGGTCCTCGCGCAAACTTTCGTTGGTTTACCTCTCGAACGGCAGTCGGACAGATCCGCGAAAGAAGGTGATAACCCGGTCGTTGGATCCCCAAGTTTACCGTTCGTTCGTGTAACCGCGTTGGCCTACTTACGACCTTTTCTGCCCGACGGCATCGCCTTAATTGCGGGTAATTTTCGCGAAGTGTTCTCCCCGTCCGACAATGGGGAGGACGTTCGCGAGCGAAGCCTCTTTATTAAGCTAGATCCACCCCTCTCGTCTCTCCGCGCCCCAACCCCCGAGTCTCGAACTCTTTGCCCCTTTTGACTCGCCCACATCCCCGCGGAGCGGACCAGACGGTCGTTTCGTTCGTTCTTTCGTATTTCGGAACGATCTACTCGAAATGCCGCCTCGAACACGATTCCACGAGTGTTCCTATTGTCCTGACATCTCATCGCGAGGTTCGCTGGAACTCGAGGATCGAATCCACCCCTATTATGGCGATCGAGATCTCTCGTTAACCTGCGCGTCACTCCTTTGAACTTTTTACAGGCTAACGAAGAGACATTTCATAAGGATAACGCGCGAACTTTGTCGAAAATTAAACCGAACTCGTTTTCCCCTCGATTGGGTCGTTAAAAGAACGAAGTCGAGATTTCATGGCGGCAGGGGGATGATTCGCGTTGCGAAGACAGGTTTCGCTGCTGCCTTTTCCCGACGACACACCGAGGGTGCATACGAGACTATCGATACCTGTTGCTGATTCCCTCCTGCACCGAAAAGGTTGTTCCTTTTGTCACGGACCCGGGATCAGCGTTGATCCGCCGCGCAAAAGCTACGAGGTTCGATTACCCGTCGTCGTCGTGTTTGAAAAGCGAAAATCGCGAGGATATTTCGTATTTCCAGGAACAACGGCGGTCTCGCGTGAAAAGCCGCCGACCATTTCGCGAAATTACTCGTACGTCTAAAACAAACGCGGCCCATTTGCCGTGACGAATCCGAAAGCTGTCGTCGTCAATCGCGAGACGTGTTTACGGCGCGTAAAATTTTCCCTCTCTATGTGGCGTCTGTCGCCCGGCGATACGTGGCTAGTTATATGTCGGCGAACGGGTTGCTCGTGAAAGGCCCGATCGAGCTGACAGGATTTTTATTAATTTTACGACTCGCTGGAAAGGACGAAACGCGCCGGGTAGGACGTTGCGGTCTACGCTGTCACGAATTCCCGATCTCGCTGTTACGTTAATTACACATGCAACCCTTCGCGCGTTTTAACTCCCGTCTGAGACCTTCGCAGTCGACGGAAAGCTACGAGGTTCGATTACCCGTCGTCGTCGTGTTTGAAAAGCGAAAATCGCGAGGATATTTCGTATTTCCAGGAACAACGGCGGTCTCGCGTGAAAAGCCGCCGACCATTTCGCGAAATTACTCGTACGTCTAAAACAAACGCGGCCCATTTGCCGTGACGAATCCGAAAGCTGTCGTCGTCAATCGCGAGACGTGTTTACGGCGCGTAAAATTTTCCCTCTCTATGTGGCGTCTGTCGCCCGGCGATACGTGGCTAGTTATATGTCGGCGAACGGCTTGCTCGTGAAAGGCCCGATCGAGCTGACAGGATTTTTATTAATTTTACGACTCGCTGGAAAAGGACGAAACGCACCGGGTAGGACGTTGCGGTCTACGCTGTCACGAATTCCCGATCTCGCTGTTACGTTAATTACACATGCAACCCTTCGCGCGTTTTAACTCCCGTCTGAGACCTTCGCAGTCGACGGTTCAGCTTTACCCTAGGTAGTTTCCTCCTCGAGCTGCGAGAAAATTCTTTACTCCGTTTCCTCGTCGCTTGCTTACTTGTCGCTAGTTACGTCGGTACACTCGGCGACTTTTTAACAGCCTGCTGGCAGTTTTCTGGATTACGAGTCGAACTGCCTTGCACGGTTTCGCTTGGGATGCGTGGCCGATGGACTAATTGCAACGTCTTTACTGCTCGCAAATACTCGCTGCCTTTGGCCGAGGACACAAATCACCTCGACGACGTTGCCTCCGCCCATCCGCTCCTCCGCGTTCGTTTCTCTCATTGTATTCGCGCGTTAACCGATGTCGGTCATTAATATTCCGCGTGCACAGCTTTTGCTGATCGATCGGTTTATTTAATACGGAGGAATACGAGATGGATAGCTAAGAACTTGTCTGGCGAACGCGAGCCGGTCGATCATCCGAGGGGAGCCGGGTCTCGCGCGATGACTCGGCGGGACCGCTTCGAATTTCGATAGCGAAACCTCGTAGTCGGTGCACGAGTAATTAGAAATAGGTACGGCGAGGCAGGCGGCACGCGAAACGGGAGCGTTGCGCGCGCCCACGTAATCGGGACTCGTTTCATCGCGGATGCATCTCGTCCCGATGAATACGCTCGTCCGTGTGCGCGGCGTATACCGCCGAACGAGGATGGAGAAAAAGTCGAGGGACGAAAGGGAAGGAGAAAAAGAATTCCTATGCATACAGACACATGGACACGGTCGGGACAAAAGAGGGGAAAAAAAATATATCGCGAGATGGAGGACGGGACGCTGGTGGAATCGCTTCGATGCGACATCCATCGCTTGATTCGAATCTGCCTACTACTCCGCGAACGGTGAGGAATCGCGTCGACGACTCGGTTGCGACTCGCTCGGGCCAACTAGTCCATTCGTATGTGTGTCTCGTGTCACGTGGAACGTCGATCGAACACCGTTCCTGCACGGAAGTTGCGGTGTTCGCCGGTGCGAGCGGAAGTTCCGGCCGCTCGATCGGCCACGGCCAACGACTCTGCCGGTCGAGGACTCCGCGAGGACTCGATACGGCTGACCGGGATCGTTATTCATAGGCGGAACGGTTCGAGAAGCGGACAAGTTCGAGGAACAGGGCGCAAATTGATTTTCGCAAGCCGGTATAGTGTCAGTTGTCGCGCGGGACTCCGTGTTCCTAGCTTCGCTTCGGTGGCAATTAGCGGACGCGAGATATTGGCTGGGTCGGCCGGGGGTGGTTCCCGTAAATCGCAGCCGGAGCGAGGTAATTGGTCCGAGAAGTCGAAAACAAAAGTTTCAAGTTCAGATTTCGAGTGTACATTTTCCAGCGGAGTTTACGGGTTCGTTTATCGTTGCCGAAGTTCCGCGCGATACGCCTCCCGGTTTTAACGATCGTTGTTCGTTTTATTATCGGGTGGAACGGAGAATGGCCAGAAGCGCGCGGCGTAAGTAGTTGCAACGAAAATTTGGAAACGTTCGAAACGAATCGCTGCAGAAGAACGTGGATAGTAATTAGACTCGCGTTCGTGTACTCGCGGCCGCGTCATTTTGCTGGACGTTACGCTGAAATTTCAACGAAGTTGACTTCGAAGCCACCTTGGGGCGCGGTCGATTCGTTTGGGAAGGGTGGTCGCGGGTGGAATTGAAATTTCAGGTATTTCCCGTGCGCGGTAAACGAGTGGAACTTCGTAGAAGCGCCATTCTACCTTTATGCCACGCGTTATTATACGTACACGTATCTTCGCAAAAATGCGACTCGATCGAACTCGAGGCAGCCCTTTGACGCGCGGAATCGATTACATCGTACGAGACGTTTTTAAAATACCGTGGAAAACTCGACACGGACGCGTAGTTTTTCGAGAATTACAAAGATTCTTCGAAATTCGAAATTTGCTGCTCGGATTGTGAGCGACAGCGCGTTGCGTCGCACTCGGACGGAAAGAAAATCGAGAAAAACTTGGAATCGGAAAAACGAGCAACAGCGAACCGGAAATTTTCTACAGCAGTTTCGCGCCACTAACACCGCCCAAGCGTTTAAATATCGGCGCAATACGTTATTTCGCTAGTGTTGTATTTGCAATACGTGTCAGGGAACGAGTAGCAATTAAAATCAAATGGTCAGACGACTTCGCGATCGACGAATCGCAGCCGATACTCGTCTATCCGGTGTTCGCAATCTATCAGATTCGAAAATAAATAACGTGGATCGCGGAATATCGCGAAATATTTTTCGGTAACGAAAAACACGCGATAACGACCGGAAGGAAAAGGGTGAAACGTTGCGTAAAACTGAAAACACGGGTATTACGATGAGAGACTCGGCTGCCGCGGTACTGTTTCGATTTCAACGACACCAGTCTCGCATTTCAAATCGTCAATGGTGACACGCGACTCCGATCTACAAAACGATCGAGGTTGCGGAAACCGCCGAAATTCCGCTCGCTAAATTCTGCAACTGGATTAGGGTGATCGTGTGTCGTTCAATAAACAACGATCCCATCAGCCACGATTTCGCGAACGTATTCTAATTCGAACGGGTGTCTGGTCCATACTTCAAAGCGACGATTCCTCCGCAACCATATTACATTCCGAGATCTCTCTCTGGCCGTCTTGGCCGCCATTTGCGTGGAAAGCACGCGACGCGTGGGATATCGATACGCCATCTATCTCGATAACCCGTCTTCGATTCTGATCTTCGAATCCTTGTTTACGTTTCGTAAACGCGAATTGCAAGATGCTCGTAGGAAGCCGATTTTGCAAGGATGGGGTATCGGCGAAAGCCGGGCAACCACGATAGGCAACGTTCTCCAGGGTCCCCGGTTAAAAGGAATTGGATGAGCACGAAGGCAGCGACATAGGTAGCCTCTGTTATCCGCGCCATCCATTCTCTTTGCACGTTTTTCTTGCAACTCGAGCGAAGAGTCTCCCGACGTATCGCGGTTTACCTAGATCCCCGATCCGTTTATGCACGCGTTTCCGATCGCGTATAGCGTCTGTAGGACGCGCGGCGAATTTAAATTCACCGTTTCTGCATCTGTAACGCGTAATCCCCCGTGTCCCCGCCGCCATGTTCCATGTAACGTTCCGCCATACATTTATCCTTCCGCCCTCTATCCGATACGTTTGCTCGCGCGCAATTATTCGCGCGTTCGGCATAGAAATTCAGCGTAGAAATCGCGGAAAATCCTGTTACCAAGGACGATCGAGAGCTCTCGTGCTCGTCACTCGAACGCGGACAACCGAGACGACTGCGCTTCCCGACGGTACGCTCAACCGTCGTGGAACGAAGCGTGTCTGTTTTTTTCGTTTGAAAAGATGGCGACGTTTATCGACGACCGATCGACGGCTTTCGGCTGACGGGAAACGCGGGCAACGATTTATCCGTGCGATTGGTCGCGGCCGAGAATCGCGAGGCGACGCAGACGCATAATTCTGACGGCGGCGCCGGTAGATAATTTTCGAGCGCAGCCAGTTTTCCTCTTCCGTTTATGCTCGTTTATACTCGTCCACGGTGTGTTGGTCGATGAGCCGAGGCAAGTTACGAGGTACCTGTTCAAGATGCGTCGCGAGATTCCAAAGTGGCGAGCGGTTACTCTGGTTACGTTAGCCTCTCATCGCTGGAATTCGCCATCCAAAGTCCGGATACGTAAACCAAGAGCACCGCTCGTGTATCGCGGCTACGTGCACTTGCCTTCGCGGGCACTCGTGTGTCGGTACGCGTGTTACGTACTTCGAGACGCGAGCAAACAAAGCGTCGAAGAGAGCGGCTAAGCGTGACGCGGTCACGCGAGTGCAAAGGTAATCGAGGCTCCTCCACTGTCAGACTATTAGCCTATCTAGACCAACCTGTATCGCGTGTTTGCCTCCGTTTTACGCGACGCTTCAAAGCGAGGCGGGCGTTAATTCGTCGTAACAGTAGACCAATTAAAACTCGAGTGCTCGCTTAAATAACGCGATCGTTTACCGTAACGTTTTCGCGCGTCTGGGTCGCTTCCGTTCGTTAAGTCTGTTGCCGGACACGTTCACTTTTCGCTGGTCCCCGATTTTTGCTTTCCCTCGCGCTACTCTGCGTCCCGGTGTGCGTAGGCGTGCAGTTTTGTCCGATAGATATTTTTTAATTGGAACAGCATGCCCGGAAATTGATGAGCGTTCGGGGATCGTTCGATTTGGAAAGGTTTCGAGTTGGCGGAACAAAAGATCCTCGGATTTCCATTCGGATCTCGGCCCGATAATCCAATTTGTCGACGGGGAAACCAAGTGCACGCGGGTTCGAGTAATTCTTCATGCCCAGATATTTAATCGCCGGGACATACGAACGCTGCTTATCTCGATACACGTACGAGATAACACCGTGTGTGCTGAGGGGTTCGCGCGGGCAAGAGGCCGGGAGACGTTAGACGCGCGATTATGCACGCTTTGTTATGTATACACGCGTTCGAGGTCCGTGGAGTTTAGAAGCGTAATCGCGTCTAAGGCCACGAGTCTCTCGCGGAATAACGCCTCGGGGAGTCGTGGGAGCCGAAAAATCTCGCGACGTCAATGGGAATCGACGAGTTTCGAAGACACGTCAGCTTAGGTCGAGGAAGACACGTACGGGTTTTATGGATTGCGTTTTCTCGAGTCTTTCGGTCCACCAGCGGCACGTCCTTCGTATTTCGAGTACCCGATAGCGGGACCGTATTTGCACCGTATTTCAACGCGACGTTCTTTAAGAATGGATACGTGAACCGAGCCGGAGCCAATTATCGTGGACAAAGGGTGGCCGGGAATACGAACCGCTCGACGATGAGTTATATACGTCTCGCTGTTCCCAGTAAATCACCCGCATCGGCCGACGTTTTTAATTCGAGATCCTTATAATTTCTAATTCGCCGTAGTCTCCAGGGACGATGCAGGTGGAAACTGGAAATGGAATTTAATTTTCGATTGCTTCACGTCTCGCGTGGGAATCCGCCGGAAGAATTATCTCCCCGTCGGAAAATTCCTCTCGTCGGACGAAGCGTAGGCAGTTCGAGTACGCGACAAATTTTTCTTTAAAACCGTCCTAGAGACCGAAAATTCGAGGCAACAGACGTTACACGGTCTGCACGCGATTACTCGTTTGTTTGCCGAGGATTCTCTGCCACGAGGAGAAGGTTATTTATTTAAAGAGGGCGCGCGGGTGCGATGTGACAAGAACACGGTGGCTTCCGGGGGTTCCTCCGCGTGCAAAATTGTAGCCACTTGTTCGAAAGTTCTCGGTGGATTTCCGTGTATTTCAGCCTTCCTGGACTTCCACGAACCCGATTCCCACGGGAATTATCGGCGAAAGAATTCGCCCGGTTCTATACCCACGAAATCCTTCGATTTTTGTCTTCCGTTCTACATCTTACGCGCTGTTAGACCGCGTTCGCGAGACCCGACTAGGGGTAGGAAAAATGCAACAAATGAGGAACGAGATTTTCGCGGTGAGAACGCGAGGAAACGGGAAAGCAGCTTTCCTCCGAGACGGACGAGCTTACATCCGAGTCGAGAAGTTCGTTAATCCCTCGATGTCGCGGTTTCCGAGATCTCCTCTCGCGAGTAGCTTTTGCTTTCTTTTTTGGCAAGCGCGAAAAGCACGAACGGCGAAATCTTTGCCTCGCACGCGTGAAAGATTTTATCGAGACGGGAGGAGGAGCGATTCAAAGGAACGACGAACGAAGGACGAAAAAATGCGGGAATTCTGGCGGACTGGCATTCGGAGATATATGGCGGCCATATTTGGTTGAGCAATGCGGGAAAAATTCGCGTAAAAATAGAAGCGGTGCAACGTTGACGTACATAATGCGGACTTTTTGTTTCTGTTATTCCAGGGGATGGAAATGTCAGCTTCGAAGAGTTCGTGGAAATCGTGAGCAACATAGGTGCGAGCGAAACCGCCCCCACCGATCAGGATCAGGAAGAGCAGGAGCTGAGGGATGCGTTTCGGGTACGTTAGCCTTTTATCTTTTCCCTTTGTTCCTCGAAAGCTCGACTCGGCGCTGTTTCAACGGGATTGCCAGAACGGAAAACGCGTGGAGATACGATTCCGTCGAACGACCAGCCCGTTCGTTTAACCATTTAACAATCGCTTGATATCGTCCTGTTGTATCCACCGCGTTCTCTGCTCGGGTAATTTGCAACGGATCGTTTCAAAGCGTTCTGACAGCTCGAATTTCGCAATTGAAACTACGAAGAATTATGGGAGTCAACGAACGCCGATGGAAATCGACGGATTAATCCGAATTCGGTCGTAACGGATGGTCAGGGAACAGATTTATTGGTCCGGTATTCTCGTATTCTCGACGCCGATCATGGCGATATAACGATAATTGCGGGCATTCGTATTCGAAAACCGGAAGGTTCGAAAATTCGAAAGCTGGGCGACGTAAAATACTTAACATCTAAATAACGCGAAATCGGATGGATGTGTCGAGATTTGTTGGATTTCCCGATTCCGGGACAGGCACGATGCTCACGTTCGCCTGCAGTAGGAGCGATTTACGTATGAATTACTCGAGCAAGAGTATATTCTCGGTAACGGACGAGATTCGTATCGGACCTAGCTTCGTGTACGCCCGCGTTGAAATTTTCGGCACATGCTCGCTCGGACGAAGTATAAAGCCCCGATGATGGTAGCCTGCATTCCTATGCGCATATATAACTTAGTGGCTCTACGTGAGAAGTAGCGATCCGTTAGGGAAAACAAATCTCCGCGAGGACGTAGTCACGAAGAAAGCTTTACGTGCGAAGTCACGCTGAATACGGACATCGGCATTACCGTTCTTGTTCTCGGAAGATGACGTCAGGGTGGTTAACTTTAAATCTGCTCGATATCAATAAATTTCACAGCGCCATTTCGAATCCATTCGAACAATTAGCAAATTAGCGTTCGCGCGTATTCGACGATGCCCCCCCCCCCCCCCC